ATCTCCGTACCAATAAGCTAGTCTCGAATACTTTGCAAAGTATTCATAGGTCGTTAGGGTCTACATGATGCATCTAGCCTTGACTCAAAAACGATTTATCAGCTATTGGACTTCCATCGTCGATCAATTTGAAATTATACAAATAATCAAAATTTCGATTCACACTTTTTAGAGATGACAAATATTTTTTGAATATTATAATACGCAAAGAGAGAAGCTTAGGCTCTTATTATAATGAATTCATGTTTTTCAAACATGATTATGAAAGATTTCTTCTTTAAACAGAGTATGGATGTGAATGTGACGGAAGAGAAGATTACCACTCACACCTACGCCCAATATGTAGGGTGACAAGAGTACATGTGTGAAGTATCTAGAGGAGATCACAGTGTAGGACAGCATTGATAGCACAAGGCACGAATATCAGAGTCTAGTAATGCGTATTTTCTATTTATCCGCAGACAATATGTGGTAATATATTTTTGATTAGAATCCGTGCCATATGAACGTTGTTGAAAGAGATAATGACTGCGATTAGACGAACGCCTTTGATGAAAGGAATTGTCAAATTCTGGATTTATGAAGAGAATGACTCCAAAGTCGATTTTGAAGATAATATGAGAACGGAGTACGACATTTTGTTGAAAAATTCATTAAAATATTCATAATCCAAGAAGAAAGAACCATGAGCACAGATTCTTTTCGAGTCGCTCGTGTCTCGATAGAGCCTGTCGAGTGGACTAAGACTTGTCTCAGAAGCAATTTATCACTTGACGAGTTTCATTGTCCAAACGATTAATCTTAATATTTCTTCAATCTAAAGTATTTTGAAATTTTCGTAGAAGGTTTTAATAGTAGATCACTTTAATCGATTGACACTTGCAAATATCTATCATAGATTCAATATAAAATCTTCTGAGTTCGAAAACTCCAACTCAAAGACATTTCAGATCAGCTTAATCACAAATCTTTTACTGAACGAACGAACATAAGTCCACGCATTGTAAAGAGACCCTTACAGTTGAGATATTTCTTGAACATATATGGTTATATTGGAATCTTGAGCTGAGAAATCCCCATATGATCTCATTTGAGTTACTTATGTAAACCAAATGAGGCTTTATCTTGTTCTAATGAATGTTGTCATGTTAAATAATATTACCAATAAGTTGTCTGTGGGTGTGTGGGTGGGTGTGGGTGCTTATGTCCTCTCAGTCACACACTCCACAGACACCCACCCACACCCACACTCTCACACACCCACACCCAAGGTACAGCAATGCACTAGATGTAGGTAAAGGCAGGTGTATACGACTGTGCATGTATGGTGTGTAAATAGTGTCAACATGAACACCGATTCACACGTTAACATCTACCAGAGTCATTCGTGTAGATTGGATGATATAGAATGTTCAAAGAGCAACATAATTCACAGATGACAAGTGCTTTGAATTAAAAAAAATGGCTGTCATAAGAGATCGGCAACTCCCAATATTTTCCGGAAACGACAGTTAACAACACAATATTTTTCTCTAAGACATCCAATCACTCATAGATTTCAAAGAACTAGTTTTGAGCTGTTTGAAAAATGATATTACTGCTATTCATATGATGATCATTGAAAATCTTGGAGCAAAACGCCCTATTTTCGACTTATTATGTTTAATGAAATAAACAGTATCTACAGCACATGGAAAATTATTTAAAAAAAATGTTTGAACTCATTGTTAATTCCGATGTAGACGAATGTTCGAGTTCTAGAACATATGCAACATATGCTGCTCTTTAACATCACTGCCATTAGACAGGTTATCCGAGTGTTTTAGGTCATCATTCGTCTCGTTGCTATTCATTCTATATTTCTTGTGGTGGCGAAACATTGTTCGACAGACGAAATGATATATTGGTTTCAAAGTCAATTTGTACAATACGAACACTAGACCAAATATTTCTAGACAGACTATAGTGAATAGAAGATTATGAAATATAATTTCTGCTCGTTTGGCTATTGGTTGTTGTTGATTTTTGACATAGTAAGGTGTTTCACTCAGAAAAACGGACAATACAATCATTTGTGATGTTGAATGAATATATTGGTCTCGTGTAAGAAATAAACTGTTTAAATCAACGGTGTAAGTTGGAATATAGATGCCAGTAAAATGAGACTCTTCACCTTCTATCGGAATGGTTTCATTGATCACTTTGGTTAGCTCAAGGGACACAGGTAATGTTTGTGATAGAACAGATCCATTCTTCGAAAAAGATCCGTAAAAATTTAATTCTTTGAGTTGATAGAATTCTTCTTCATGTTTACCACCACTTAGACCGATGCGTAGACCACCGATTGTTTGAACTTGAGCTAAGGTGATTTGTACAGATATGTGTTGAAAGGGAAGGGGAATGGATAGGAATAGGATGGAATTATTATTTTGACAATTGGACCAACGAATCGTTGACCAGATTGTACCATATTGAGCTTGAATAGATATGACATCACAATTAATTAATGTATTGATGAACTCGATATTTAGCGACAAGCTTTGTTCATTTAACAAATCAAACATTTTTTTCTCAGTGTCTGACGGCGGTATACCTAATGTTTGAAGATTTGTTTGGAATTTAGCATTACGAATCGATGGGTCGCAGGCGAAATATGAATCGGCCGATGTTTCAATGGGATATTGTTTATAATAGGCATTGCTAAATGCATAAGCAAAACAAACGAGAACCACCATAGAAAATGACGCCAGACCGCCGACCCATAGTTCACCTTCGCCAATCAGATCTGTTTTCTTAAATATGCAATGAATTCTATTTTTTATTTGCGCATATGTCTTATGATTGACAAAACATTTCAGCATCTTCAAAACAATGATAACTAGGATAGCTAAGCTAGCTACGATTAATGTCCAAAATAAGGGCGATACCAAAAGGCAACGATTCGATCCTATATGAAACATATTTTGAATTAAAACCTCATCAAATATAGTACTTTCAGGTGATTTTGGGTAGGCAATTAATTGTGCGATGGTTTCCAATGCAGATTCAGATATTTCACTCACTGAGCCAAGTGGACAGAATGTGTCTGGTGCACATGAAATACATTGAATGGTAGAATCACCCGGATTTTTTGTGCCAGTCGGACAGAGAATACAATCATTAATACCGAGTTTATCCTTGTACATACCTGGTGGGCAAGGTTGTGGTGATGTAATGAGTGGCACTGATCCTGTCGCTGGTACTGATGGATAGAAACCTGCTGATGTGGCGATGAATATTAACAAGTTGCCATTATCATCCATTAAAGCTAACGATGTTGATGATGAAACGATATTCAAAAATATAGGACTAAAACTTTGCGGTAATAATTGATGATAGTTAGGGAAAATTGATAGAGGAGTACTGTTCGAATTATAAATACTCGATCGCATGTCATGGAAATAGATTTGAGATGACGACCACTGATAATTGAGTGAATAGGTATTGATGAGTATAGCGGCCATATTCCCATTATCCAGCCAGGCTACACTTTTCCCATTACCTAACGATCGACCATTGGTATTCCGACTTATATAAATCAATTGTGTCGGATCGGAAATATTTACTGAAAATAAGAAAACTCGATTGATAAATTGCATACCAACTAAAACATCGCCACGACTATTAATACTAATTGACATATCATACTTTGCTGAGTAGATATTCGCATCCGAATAGCTCAATAAATCTTGCCATGTACCAGGAGTAGCTATTGGTATATATTGATCAACAACAATTGGATGACGATTTGATGAATTGAAATTAAGTAAATAAATGATCGGACTATATTTAACCCTTCCTCGTGGATCATTTTGAATGAAACCTGCAATAATGCCGAAATTGTTACTAATATCAACAGCATGAGGCAGAAAAGAACTATTCGACCATGTTAAGTTGCCATTCCATTGTTCCAAAGTTGAACCATTTGCAGAATCAAATACAAAGACAAATAGATTTGAAAATCCATAGGCAAAACGATTTTGAGGTTCAATCCCAATGACATAGTATTCTTGATGTTCATAATTGATAAGATACTGTAAAGAATAAGAGAAACTCAAAGCACAAGAGTTTGACGTATTTGCACCAATATTTGTCTGATTGTACTGTGCTACGCCAATAAATGTTCCATTACGACTATTGATCAATTCGCCAGCAAAAAAAAATTGTGTTTGGTTTTGATCCGGTTTCTTGCCGACAGCAACACAATAAACATAAGTGTCTAATATATCAGTATAATTAATCGAACATTGTGATAAATTTTGTGTAGTATTGTAAGGTGCAAATTGAATAAAAAATGTCGGTGGATTTTTGGCATTTTGAGCTTGTACAAGAAGAACTTCATTCATAGCTATTTTTACACCATAAGCATCGTAATCCATTCGATTAGGAATAAAAGTACTATTCAGACAATTAATATGGAAGAGTATGAAAAGCCCAATGATAAGATGATGTATGCGATTCATGCTTTTATTTATTCTGCAGAACTCTTAGGTTCTCGAATGCAGGGAATGCAATTTTTATTTTGATATCTAAAAGGTAGTAAGATGATTAGACAAAAAGAACATGACCATAAAATACTGGCTAAGTAGTAGTAGCCTGTAATGTTTTTTGGTAATCGATTTACTCGGTTCTAGATTGGAAAACAATGAAAGTGGTTATACGGTTAGAACTGTAGAAGTACATCTATGATGAGAGTCAAATGTGGCAAGAATAACGATCTAGACTCTTCAATTTTGGCCAGTCAATATATATGTGAATTAAAACCGATCTTCAAATTGAAACATTTGAAATAACACGATACGTATATACAAGAAACTACACATCTAGAAATTTTAGAAAACTTCGAAGTAAGAAAAGTCAAAATCCGTCGTCAATCAATATACTATAGAGAGTGTGGCATAACGCTATTAGAACTGGACATCACAAAAAAGAACTTACATGATCCAACTAAAAAACGAACTTTAGAATTCCATTACACAGCTAATCTCCGTGTGTAAAAATATCTTCATCGTGATTCTCTAAAGGCAAGAAAACCTTGTGTTCTACTCGTGTGCTTTTCCCTACTCAATCACCTTTATTATTGCACCAAGATTTGTCAAAATTGTATGTTCTTGATTGATAGTAGTAGAAAAAGACCTCTTCGGAACCAAATTTGCCACTACGCAGTGTTCGGACTTCAATTGTGCTCATGTACAAGATGCATCATATATTTATATTTAATAGAAGGTGATTGAGTAGGGAAAAGCACACGAGTAGAACACAAGNGGACATCACAAAAAAGAACTTACATGATCCAACTAAAAAACGAACTTTAGAATTCCATTACACAGCTAATCTCCGTGTGTAAAAATATCTTCATCGTGATTCTCTAAAGGCAAGAAAACCTTGTGTTCTACTCGTGTGCTTTTCCCTACTCAATCACCTTCTATTAAATATAAATATATGATGCATCTTGTACATGAGCACAATTGAAGTCCGAACACCGCGTAGTGACAAATTTGGTTCCGAAGAGGTCTTTTTCTACTACTATCAATCAAGAACATACAATTTTGACAAATCTTGATGCAATAATAAAGGTGTGGCATTGATAAGCTCAGTTTTCTATCTTCGGGTATTTGCGTCCTGATCTAGCAGCCGAAATTGACCATAACGTTTCTGTATTTAATGCATCATAGATCATACTCAACTGAATTGCAGGCGTGATTTCTTTTGTTTTTTTTTCTTTCTGGTATTCTTGGACGGCAGAACGATAAAATGAAATGCTCTTTGCCTTTCTTTCAAATTAATAGAATGTCATCTACTTTGGAGCACATTCTTACTCTACCATAGTATGCCAAGTAATATCACACATGTGTAAACATTTGCTGTCAGTAATATATTAATGACAGCAAATATTATCGTATGTGTGAGAATATTTGCTCTTAGTAATAAATTACTGACGGAATAGTGATGTATGCGTGAGGAGAGTAGAACGCAATAGTTTCATATTGATCGATCAGTCATCAAGCTGGGAGCTGATCCCTGGGCGCACACTGTAAGAAGACAGTGTAACGCATTCAGATCTTATCGTTCTGGAAGGAACGGACTCTTTTACCGAACAGGAATGCCTGAAGAGCCTGCAGATTAAGGATTAATATCACTTGATGCATGGTACGAAAAACATGAACTTTTTTGGACAGCGAACATTTTTTCGATAAGACCAGAATTTGTGTATTTTCCTATGAAATTCTAAAATATGTGTCAACAAATATGCGAGAAACTAAGAATTCCTTATAGAGCTCTTCCAAGATATGGATTTTCATATCCTATTCTATCAAAGATACTTTTCGTAATCTAATCCAATAGTACCATCTTGATTTTATATTTGAGAGCTATCGAGAATGGTGATAGTTGCAACATTCTGTTACAGTACAACTTATCTCGCAATAATTCGTCAAAACTTTATCTGATCATGAGGAGTCCACGAAAAATTAAATTTATCCCGTTTTATTTTTAATCCCTTTAGCATGTTTTGGCAGCTTCACTTCAACGGCACTTGTACTCGCACCCGCACCTATATTCTAAAAGGCCTAAGGGAACTAAAGTGTATCGAATATAAAAATCTTACCAGTTTCTACAGTATAAAAGTAAAACGAGATAAATTTATTTTTTCGTGGACCTATGTCCGCGAGACAACCAAAACCTAGCTAAGAATAAGTGACTCAACTAGTCTGAAATGTCATCAGCGGTAGTCAAGACCTGCCTGATGAGGTTGTGGCTGTAAACATTAGTCAAGAAAAGACCTATACCAACCCTAAAATAGTACGAATATTTTTTGTGTCATAATATTATTTCATTTTAAATATGCATAGTAATTAGTTTAATTTAAGAATTAATTTAACTGTACAAATGTATTCTAGTTTTAATTGTAAAATGGATTAATTTATTTTAATATAAAGTAAAATCACGATGCTTATAAAAAATATTTTCTTGTCAATTAAAAAAATTATTAATGTATTTTGCACATGATACTTTTTTGCATTCATTTAGTTTCACTAAAACTTCACGAAAGTAATGTTTTTTCAATAGAAAAAAATAGCCTTATTTGAGCTTATATACTTAAATTTGTATTAGAAGAACATTTTTTTTAAATTCATGGGAAAATTTAACATATCTGAATAAAGTGCTATTATATGATGTCTACAAATGTTCACCGAGATACAGAAGTTGAATTTTCCATCATATAGTTCAATCGTTCACATGAGGAGTAAATACAGCAGATTATGTACATGTTGGAATCTAATCTTTTGCCTTATAATATATTTAAATTTAGACTCATCCGGACTATAGTCCCTTCAATTAAAAGTAGAACTTCGATTTTGATTTTCTTTTTCAAAAATTTTGTATATGTTGTTAGTACAAGCTATAGATGAGCTGTACTACACAATCATACATCAATCATCCACAGCTAGTATATCTATCAAATGGAAAATGAATAAAAAAATATAAAAAATTTTTGAAAAGAAAATTAAAATTTAAGTTCTACTTTTAATTGAAGGGACTATAGTCCAATATATCTCACTATAGTGCGCCATGGGAACCATGCCTAGCAATTTTCTTTTTTCAACTTTAAATCATTTTATGACGGGTATCATGCCGATCGGACTTGTCTAGTTTTTGCCTTTTAAAAAGGAATCGTCCAGGGCTAGTCTGCATCTTCGATAATAGTTTGATATCCAACCGACACTGAAGCAGTCCTGAGCAGATCTTTCTCTCAAAAAAGGCTAGACAATACATGTGTGATGATTCCCATAAATGATTGATTTGAGGCGGGGTTCAAGGACGCCTCATATCTTAGATTAGTCCTGAATTAGGATTTTTTGAGACAAAGACTAGAAAGATTGAACTGACAAGACTAGAAAGATTGAACTGAGCATCTAGCCCATTGCTTGCTCTCTTGAGCAAGGACGTATTTATTTTTTAGTTTTAATTGAATTTCATTTTCTGTGAGAAACGGCTTCACATCGGTAAATACGATTAAATCCGTTTGTCCAAATTAATTGAAAAAAATCATGGGCCAGGCACATAGTAAGAGCTTTTAATAGTTGTTGAAAATCTTGACTAAGGATTATTTTGGGTAGAAACCCAAATCCCAAGATCAGTTGTTGTCCTAATGTTAACCATTTATCCCTCAGAGAGGTTTTAAAATATCTTGATGAAGAAACTAACACAAACATAATGCAGATCATTCTAGCATGTCAATAATATGGGCAAATGGTCTTGCAACATGTCTCTGGTTCGGGCTACAATATGCAGTACAAATAATGCCGGTAAAAGTATTGAAACTTTATGTTTTCTGAAATTTTGTAACATTGCTACCCATGGTCACTACATTTGCCGATAGAAAGTAAAGAGTTAATATTCATTAATAGATAGTAACAGATTAAAATTTATTATCTGGTAACATAGTTTTGGAACAGATAATTCCCTTATTTGAAAAGACAGGAAAAAATCTGATTTTAATCGATTTTTTCATGTTATTTTCCTTTTTACATCGAAAAGGTCTCTATTTCGTTTTTTTTCCATCTCATCGTTTACAAATCAGTAAAACAGTATATAAAATCAATCAAGATCCTGCCGAACTTAACTATATGGCAATTTTTCATCTTCATTATTGTGAAAGAAAATCCAAGTTATAATCGATTATAATTTTGATTCTCTTGCACAATTATCAGATTATCAATATTGCTTATGTTCATAGTGTGTCAGTGGTAAGGGAACGGTCTATGTTCATGTTCTATCTGTTCAAATTATGTAAGAGTATTCGGTCACTATGCAACTAGACACTATGAACTCATGAAAAATAATAGCTGCCCGCCCATTCTGTCCTTTCTTCACTATGTCTTCTCTTCTGTCTGGATCCCTTTCTCGTATATGAGCTTGTGTTCTATGTGAAGCAGACACAACTGGAGTGATGGATTAATGTAGTGGATATCTATACCGAGGATGTCGAGAATGCTACTCCTCAGTTTGTCATTATTGATCGTAATGAAACACACATTGCAACAGTAACGAAATAGAACATCTCTCTCTCTCATTTTCATTACACACAGGATTTTGAAATTTTAATCAACTGTAATCTCTAAAATTTGTCAGTGGATACAATTCAGAAATAAGATTGAAATTAACCCGATTTCATCTGCCTGAATGCTTTCTTCATGAAGGTTCTTTTTAATCTAGCTGATTTTGCGAGAGACTTTTTTTTAGAAAGACAAAGATATCAATCGACGAAGTTGATTCCATTGCTGCACTCTTTGATCGATGCTTATACAGAAGAGCGTAAAGACTGTCTTTTATGAAAGCCTTCCATTATGTGTTGCATTTGACACACCAGGATGTT